TTCCTCTCTCTGAAATCAATAAAGATATATTAAAAAAAAAAAGGAAAAAAAAAAAAGAATACCAGGGTCTTTCGGGACCTTTGAGAGAAGGGGCTGGAGTCTGGGGCCCAGGCTCTGAGCTGGGGGAGCAGCAATGTCCATTTGCACGTTTCTCAGAAGCATCCGATCCAACTGATGGAAAAGCAACACACGGTGTGAGAGACCGCTCTCTTTTATTTTATATTCCAAAGAGCTCCTTGGAGATGAGAGAGCGTGTCTTCCCATCTAGCAACCGTGATAACAGGAGATTTTAGCACCAGGAGCAGAGTAGAGGCTACTGCAGTGAGTGTGCTCAGTGGGTTCATTCTTTAATATCCCGAAACATACCACATTTCCCTCTCCTCGTTTTGCAAGTGGTACTGTGTTTTTCTGTCAACTCCCTGGCCTGTCTCAAGTGTAATTTTTATGATGCCTTACTGGCTCATAAATAAATAACCAATACCAAGCTCCAGTATTTTCCTTCTTCCATGTACGAAAAAGCCATTTTCCCTGCTCTGTAGAAGTCACGATGAGGACATTTGGAAGTAATTTAGTCTTCTGCCAGTACAGAGCTGAGTTACGAGGTTTTTCATTAGGTTACCGCATTTCAGGCCAGGGAGTCCCACAGTAATGGATTCAAGTCCTGGACAGGCCTGTTAACTGGCTGTGTGGCCTTGGCAAAGTCACTTGACTTCTCTGAGCTTTGATTTCTTTATCAGGAACTAAAATAATCCCTTTGAAGGGCTGTTCAGAAGACTCAATATAATCCTGCACGGTGGCCCCTGCATTCAGTGAATAGAAGTGTCACCACCGTCTGACCATCCGACCTGGCCAACAGTCCTCCCAGGGCCTCGTACAGGTAGCCTTGAGATTTGAGATGGGGCTCGTAGGCAGGAACATAGGAAACTCTGGACTGTTCTAGGGTAGAACCATGGGCTCTGTTTGTTGATAAGCAGTAACAAAGGGCTTTTCTCCCGGGGACATGGTGGTCCTCAGGTCTCCATTCACAGCAGTCAGGGCCTCGTTGTCAGGAATGAGGTTTCCTACCCAGGCTGCAGATTCCTGGAAGGCAGAGCCCAGGCCTTGGTATTGGTCAAGGCTCCCCGATGGTTCTACTGAGCACCAGGGCTGAGAGCCACCGGGCCAGGGTGGCCAAGCGGGCAGCACAGTGGTGAGGGTCACGGGCACCAGAGCCCAACAGACGTGGATTCCTTACCCTTGAGCTCCAAGACTCTGGGCAGGTTTTTAACCTCTCTGAACCCTAGTTACTCGTCTGCAAAATGGGGTCATGAGTAGTATCGTGCCTGTGAAGCATGGTCAGGTGCTGCCCAGTCTTGGTGTTATTACTATTGGAGCTAATGATAATGTCACCGTCACCATCAGCTGCCCCTCCCACTTAGCGAATCACCTCTTCCATACCCTCCGGCTTTAGAGTCAGCAGTAAAGCATGTTGCTTGTCTGTAAGTCCAACATGACCATCCAAAAGGAAATCGGCATGGCCGGATGTCATTCCTTTTCTCAGCTGAGTCCTGCATTTCCCTCCCACCTGGTACCAGTGCACTAATGGTGAGGGAGACAAAGTAACCTTTATCTTCCAATTTTCCCCCCAAATAGTAACTGTGTTCTAGTTGATTGCTCTCCAAATTAAAAGACCTGGCTTTAAGGCAGAGATGCATTGTTGAGAGGGTGTCTTAGGGCAGCACCAGGTGGCAGGAAGCAGGATTCCCTCGGGGGTCTCTCTGATAAGCTCCTACCCGCAGGGATCACCACTGTTCTGAGTGGGAGCCCCCTGACTAAAATGCAGGAGGGCCCTGGGAATCCCAGAGACCCCCCACCCCCATATCGGAGGCTCCTGTCTCTGCTCGGCCACTTCCATTTAATACGAGGGAGGTGGGGAATGGCTGCTTCCTTCGGTGATATTTGTAAAGCCAGCAGGAACTGCTTCACAGATGTGAAATATAAATGCATCCCTCCTTTTATTTAAAAATTAAAAACAGACTCAAGCCCTGGCATGCCACATTAATAGAAGATTCACTGCTTCCTCCTGGGGCTCCTCATGCCCCTCCAAGGACCCCCAAAGACTTAATACAGCCCACAGGGCAGCGCTTGAAGGGATGGTTGGTCCTGCCTCTGTGCCTCCAAAGGGAGAGCCTGGAGTCTGAGCTGTGACCTCTAGCTGTGGCTCCTCACTGCCACACACGGTCCCTGTTAATAGCTGGCTCAATCCATCCACTGCTGGTCCAGGTCTCATGGGGTCTTCAAGGGAGCTGAGCCCCGTCCTAGGCTAGGCTTGACTAAGGGCACCCTCTATTGGGTCCCTAGAAGCTGTGGCTTTTGGCAGCTGGTTCCTTCACTCCCCAGGCCCATCCCCCTAGGAACATGCTACACAATTGGTTCTGCAGTTGGGCCCCTTGTGGGACCTCAGTCCCTGGGCATCTCCATCCCTAGGATGAGGGTTGCCTTTTTTCAGCCCCTCACTCACCAAGCTCTCCATTCACTTCCTTGAACAGTAGGTCTGTTAGGAGCCTGCGTTTAGGCAGCGGTGTTGGTACATGTGTACTAAGTAGCCCTCTGGAGGGGGCTTCCGATTGGTGTGTGCACTACCACCAAAGGCTGGTTTTAGGCTTCCTGCTTGACGTTGGCAGCTGGGAGGAGGTGCTTACGGCTGATTCTCATGAGCTGGTTTGAGTTGGCTGCGGCTCCCTCTGCTTTTGGGCCTCAAGGTGATTTATCTTCCAAGGTTATCCAAGTGGACTTCTGCACCCTGCCCCCTATAGCAGAATTTTTTTTTTAAAAAAGTAAGTTCATTTTTCAGCACAATGTCTTGCTACATTTGGTTTTCAGCTTCTCTCCATAAATCGATTTGCCTCTCCAGCGTTGTAAAGTAGGCCCAGGCTGAGGCAGCTTTGACGTGCCTGAAATAGAAGTTAATGCACAAAAAGACACGTACTCTTGTCTTGTCCTTTTAGGTTGTTAGATTTTTCTACCAGGTTCGGTTCGGAGAAGTAGAGAATAGGCTTTTAATTGTTAAAGATTGAAGCTTCTATTCTGTGAATTTCTTTAAAACATCATGCAGGATCCAATCCAAAAGGAGAGCTTTCTCTGAATTGTCTCTTCCTGATGTGGCATTGTTCTTAGGACATTTCAAATTCCCACTAACTACCATGGCTTTCTCAAAAGCTGGTGGGAAACTGCATTAATATTTAAAAGAAACAAGCTGATGGACTTCATTTGTGTGTTAGGTGCAGGGGAGCAGCCAAGAGAGAGACAGACACGATGGATACCTTTGTGGATTCCGCCTGGTACTACTTCAGATACACCGACCCTCGGAACACTCACAGGTAGAGCCACCCAACTCCTCAGACATGTGTCCGCCGGGGTCTTCCAAGAAGCAAGCCCCGGCCTGGAATTAGATGTGCAGGAGATTTACTGGAGTAAATGCCTATGAGGAATGAAGGGTGAGGGAGCAGGAGTCCACAGGGAGCGCCCTTCAGCCCTGGTGTGGGTCTGACTTCTGGGAAGGGAGCCAGGGAAGGAGGGGGACTGGGTAGGAAGAGCCTCAGACCACAGTGCAGCTCTGAGAAGGTCTCAGCCAGGCCCACAGGACGCCCCATACAAAGCCTGTCCATTGGAGAGCCCAGGCCAGGCAGAGACGACGCCACCCCGGTCGTTTCCCTCAGCATGTTCACTGAGGGGATTTAAAGATGGAGCTACTGGGAGCTGTCAGTCGCTGTGCTCCTCGAAGCAGATCTTGTAAAGGGAGCGTGTTCAATGATTGAATTAGATTCTTCATGGCCGCATAAGTCCCTAGTACAAGAGAGGTAAAGCACAGAAAACGGAAGGCAGTGCTGTAGTCATTCCCCCTCGGCCCCACGTTGGCCTGATGCGATTATAAACATCTCAGGTTATTTACGTAACTGAAGATAGTGATGTAACTGTGCAGGGAAGGTTGGAGGTAGGGACTATCAGAGCTAAGGGACATCACCCCTTATTGCATAGCCAACAGTTAATATCTAAAACTGGTAAGCCAGTGAAGAGTGTGCACATATTTTTAATAATTGCCAGAAGAAACAGCTAAGGGAATTAAATTTGCCTGAGGCATAGGCTGGGGAGAAGGGGTTAGGGAAGGAATGGGCCGGAGAGCACTGTTCTGAATTGCAGACCTATTTGGTTTTTAGCTCTGTGCTTGTTTCCTTGAAAAAGCAGATAATTAAGGGGAAGAGAGCAGCAGGTAGACAGGTAAGGAGAGAATGGGAACAAAAGGAAGCTATCACAGAGCGCAGGAAAAACTACCAAAAAGTTACTGTGTCGGAGACCTTGGCAGCGTGCCCTTGTCTGTGGGAGAGCAGTTATTCTGAACCCTGAAGCCCATGTATACAAATGCCCCCCTTTATAACATAGTTCCAGTGAGACGGGTGTCCCGCCCTCCCCCACCCTGCCCCCCGGCACTCTTGCGGTTCTGGCTTTGAGTTCAGGTCCTGTGAGTGGGACCCTGAGTACAGTAGCCAGCAGAGGCAGAAGGATACAAGGTGACTGCTGTGCCTGGGAACCGCCTGCGTGGCCCTGGCTAACCCACAGAGGGGCCTCTCTTCTCGGTCTTCCTTCTAGAAGGCTCTGTGGTGCATCCCGCCTGGTAACAGCTGGCTTTGGATGCAGGGGACTCAGGCTGTGGACCTCTCAGAGCCCTTCAAAGGAAAAGCTCCTCATAGATGAGGGACACTCTAAATGACAGTGGTGGGACCCTCCTCGCCCGGTGAAAGACAGTCCTGAGGCCTTCACAGCCCCGCCTGAGACCACCACAGCTCGTCGTTTCCTTCCCAGAGTCTGCCTGCGTTTCAGCGCCGGCCTGAGCCTCACTCGGTGTTTCCGGGCAGATCGTGGATCCGAGCTACAGCTGCTTTCAGCTTCTCAGTCCCTAGTTTATCCTGACCTTGTTTGGGGGCTGAGTGCCATCCTTGGCTTCTCTTTCTCTTCTGTCACCTGGATTAGATTTCTCTGGGGAATGATTTTTCACAAAGAAAACAATTCTGTTTGAATTTTACTAGAATTCTGGCATAGTGACTGGAGGAGAGAAGACCAAGCTGCAGTAAGATGCTCACGCGTGGTGGCTGGACAGGCTCACCTGCTCGGCAACAGGGGCCAGAGCCAGCCAAGTCCATGCCGGGGAAAGAGGCGCCAGGGAGAGAGCTGTCAAACATTTGAAACCACGGAGTACAAATCCTCCAGAGGCAGAAGTGCAGTTCATTGGATGGCTCCCCAGCCAGCACTGCCCCCCCAACACACACACACACACACCCCTCTGCACACACACACACACACACCCCTCCAAGAGTCCTAGAGGGAAGTGGTGTTTCCCTTCCTCCCCAGCATCTGTTAGGACCGGGGAGCATGAGGAAATGAGGAAGCCTTTCTTAGGATCTCTGTGGCCTGAAGCCCTATAAGGTGACAGAGAGTTGGACTCTTTTCCAACAGTTACCCCAAGTTTGCTCATTACATTCAGGAGCCAAATGCAAGCTCTTGCTAACTATCTGCATTTTAAAAATAAGATTGAATTTTTGTTTTAAAATGAACATTTAGTGTGCACATGATAGTCCCCATTGTAAGTGCCACATTGCCCCCTATTGGTAAGGACTTAAAAATCTTGACTTTCTATCATCATAAAAATTAAAATAAATCTAGGTATTCAGGTATGCGTTATATGGAAATATCTTTTTTTTCTGATATATTTTCCTCTTGTCCTCATTTTCTATAAAAATTGCATCTGTTAAAATGTTGCATGCAGTAATGGCTTCTGAAACAGTTTTTATGAATTGTATAAATTAACACCAATCTGACTTTTTTCTCCTTTGTTATATAAGGTTTTCTCTTATTATATTTTAAAAAGGAAATCAGTGTTTTTCTCTGACATAATTTATTTCAGGGCATATGCAAATTACAGTCAGCCTGTCTCTTTTATGCAATTGTGGCAAAGCAGGTTTTTAAAAGAAAGTGACCGTTTCTCTTTCCTCCAGCCCTTTCAGCGCGACGCTGGCGGACTACTGGATGCCTGTGGATCTGTACATCGGGGGGAAAGAGCACGCTGTCATGCACTTGTTCTACGCGAGATTCTTTAGTCATTTCTGCCACGATCAAAAAATGGTCAAACACAGGTGAGCGTTCATGCTGCTCTGCAGGAGAAATCAGTACCATGACCAGCAACTTACAGCGGTGTCCGTCCTTCGAAGCCGGGTAAAGGTCTGTAGCAGGATTCTGTTTTTCAAGTATACTTTAGAGGTCAAGGTCGGCCTTAACCACTGGAAGTGCGTTTCTGTTGCTTAATTGTTGTAGCAGGTGGTGTCACTGCTCCCATCGAATCTTGCCTCCAGCTCTTCTCTGTTTAACCGAGTTATGCAACTGAGATTTTTACTTGAGGCAGAGAAGAGTGGTTTATAATGTTTTACTACAGCTCTTTGTTGCTTCTCGTGTGAGGTCATGTTTACCTTCTGGTCCCTCGGTGTAAGCTCTCTCTCTGAGCTCGACTGAATTCTGCCTCCCAATAGCACTCTGATAAAAGTATGTAGTGGATTAAAAGCTAGGGAATCACATTGTAAATCCACTGATAAATTATTTCCTGTTGGTCTCCGATCTAGTCCCTATGATGTTCAGAAAGATGTGTATGTGCCTTTTCCCCATGAAGAATATCATATATATGAGAGATGCATTTAATATATTAAACAATTTAAAGCATAAAATGAAATTCCATGCCCCCCTTTCTCAGTTTAAGAAACAGTGTGTGACAGGTTCCTCGGAGCCCCCAGGGTGCCCTCTCGAACCCTAGCATCTCTCTTTCCACCCCGAACCCCCCACCCAGCAAACCCCTGTCCTGAATCTTAAATTATTCATTCTCTTACTTTATAAATGTGCCATCTCTGTGTATATTTCTCAGCATTACGTACTGTTTCGTTTTCCTGTGTTTGGATAGAATCATATTTCCTGTGTCCTGTCCTGCTTTCCTCGCTCAGCACCTTTGGGATTCATCTGTGTTGCTGCATGGAGTTTTTCCCTCCCTGCTCAGGGCCGTGCGGTGTTGTTACGGGGATGGGACTCTCACCCAGGACTCAGCCTGTGAGTCCATGCCACCGCTAGTGGTCGCTGCGCTGGTTCGCGCAACTCTGAACGAAGCTGCCGGGAGCCTTCTTGCATGTGGCTCCTGACCACGCACGTCGGCGGTTCTGGAAGGTGTGTTTCTAAGAGTAGAACCGCTGGATTGTGGGGTTTGCCCGTGTTCAGCTTGACTCAGGAGCACCAACTCTCCCACCAGCAGAGATGAGGGCTCCCGCTGCCCTACCTGTGTCTTCATCATCACGCCAGCTCTGTGTCTGGTGGTTGTAGAACAGGTTGCTCTGTGAGTTAAACTTGCATTTTAAAAACACTGCTGACTTACTGCCGTTTGGCATGTTCTTGATATGAGTGTGGACGTCCGTTGCCTCTTCCATTAGACCCCTGTGAGTGTCCTTCGCCCGTATTTCTTCTGGGTCGTCTTCTATTGCTTGTAGCAATCCTTTAGTTATTCTGGTGCTAATGCTTTTTCAGCCGTATGTATTGCAAGTATCTTTTCCCAGTCCCTAGCTTGCTTTATTTTTATGATGTCTTTTGATGAAAAAACCTCTTAATTTAATGTAGTAAATTTTAATAATCTTTTATTGCTTTTAGTGTCTCAGTAGCATCCATTTCCCTCCGTTCCCCCCATTCGATGGTGCCCTCCCTCTCATAAATCAAGCTTTCACATACACGCAAGGGCCTATTTACAGGGTCTTTATTCCGTCCATTGGTCTGTTTGCTCTTTGCTGTGCCTGTTAGTTGTTTACTGGATTTATTTTAGTTTTACAAGCCTAATATTCAGCAGAGGAAGCCCCCTACTCTCTTCTTTTCCTCTAGGGGTTTCTTAGCCATGGTTGGACCTTGGTTCTTCTGAGTAGATTTCAGATCCGGCCTGTCCGAGGCGGCAAAAGTATCTAGTGGGAGTGTAGTTGGAATTGCTAATATCTTTTCTCTCTTCTTGCTCAAATCTCTGATCTTAACACCTGAAGTCACGTCCCTTTTATCTAAAACATTTGCTTCAGGATATCTCTCATGTTCTTTAATGAAGGCCCAACTACAAGTTCTTTTTTGTGAGTTTGCTGGCTCAATGACACATTTAAAACAATGTTTTGGGTTTTTAAAGTATCTTATCTGGTTTTTCACTTGTTTTTCATCTGGACACTAAACCAGGCTCACCATCTGCCATACTGCCAGGAGTATAATTCCTGGGATGTAGTTTTGAGTTGCTGTTATGTTTTGTTTTTTTCTTTTTTTAACGCAACGTCCTTTAGAATATATTTTTTTTAAGCTTTGTTTGTTGATTTTAGAGAGAGAGGAAGGAAGAGAGAGAGAGAGAAACATCAGTGTGTTGTTCCACTTATTTATGCATTGATTGGTTGGTTCTTGAATGTGCCCTGGCCAGGGATCGAACCTGCAGCCTTGGCGTATTGGGACAACGCTCTAACCAACTGAGCCACCTAGCCAGGTTTAGAATATTTTTTAATTGCAGAGAAAAGGAGGAAAATATCTGATTATCTCCCCATCCAGATAACCCTGGTTAATAATAAAAAAATAAAATAAAAAAGGACTACGTGTCTAAGATTAAAAACTTTTAGCTGCACAGAAAGGGAGCATTGAGATCTCCCTGCATCCCACCCTCCACACTTCTCCTCAGCCTGCTAACAGTGTCTTTTTATTTCTTCCAGAAAAAATTTGCACAGCTCCATGTTTCTATTGATACACTCATTTCTAAATGTTACGTATATTGCTTATATGTCTTTTGCTTTTTTGATCCAATTATATATCTTGGTGATCTTTCCACATCAGCCCATAAAAATCTTCTATTCTTTTTAATTCATTCATAGTATTCCATCATATGGATCTGCCATAATTTATTTAAGCAGTCATTTATTTGTTCATTGTTGTTACAACAACAAAAGTCCAGTGACTCTTTATATTCTTGGCGGGTATTTGGAATCATATCTGCAGGTTCAAGTCCTGACACTGGGGAATGCTGTGTTAAAGGATCTGTGTTTTTAAATTTTTGATAAGCTAAAAAATATATTACTTTTCAAACCTCCATCATGCAGACTAAAATCAAGTTTCATTAAAAAGCAGTGCATGGAGCCCGGCCGGGCGTGGCTCAGCGGTTGAGCATCAACCTGGGATCCAGGTGATCGGGGTTCGATTCCTGGTCCGGGGCACATGCCTGGATTGCGGGCGAGGCAGCCGATCAATGTCTCTCTCATCATTGATGTTTCTATCTCTCTCTCTCACCCTCCTTTCCTCTCTCTGAAATCAATAAAGATATATTTAAAAAAAAAAAAAAGGCAGTGCATGGAAAGCGCAGACCTGCCCCCTCGGTCTGGGCATGCCCACACGGGTGAAAAACCTACTGCATAGAAAACTAATTTAGGACCACAAATTAAATACTTAAAATGATTTTCTTCTCATCAAACCCAGAATGCTTCACGTATAAAAATAAACTGATCGGCATCAGGAACTAAACATATTAACAGCATTAATCCTCGGGCAGTAAATGAGTTAACAAGTTCATACGCTGGGTTGTAGAATTTGTGATTCTGCCTTGCGTTTCCGATTTCTTTATGGAAACCTCTCCCTCACCGGGCAAAGATCACCCCTGAGGATGGACGTCGTGTCCTGTCACTGTCTCAGTCTGGTGGATAGTGTACACTCTTGGTGACTGTTTAAATACACTGAGATTAACCCCTTGATATAAACAGTACAAGTTTAAGTTCTTCAGAGGAAGGGTTCTCCTTGGTGTAGGGAGAGTTGGACAGAGCTTAGGGACAAAGACCAAACAGCCTGAGAAATACTTGTCCCATGTAGGCCTAGAAACAAAGGCCCTAAGTGATTTCTGGCTCCTTTGCAGCAGGCCTATGGCTCCAGCTTCGGAACAGCCATGGCTTCCTACAAAACTGGCTGATGATGTGAGCATGATGGCCCCAGACACGGCGAGGGAGAAGAGAGGGTGAATTTAGCCTGGAAAGTCCTAGCTAGAAGCTGTTTGCAGAGGTCATGGCTCCCTCTTTTCTTTTTTCCGATCTACATAGTAGCTGCCAGACCAGGTTAAGAGAGTGGACAGGAGGCTCTCTAGGGTGTCATAAGTAGGTCAGTGTCATCCATAGTGACCGGTTGGGGCTCTGATGTGCTGAGATTCTTGTTGCCACATCTTGGTTAACATAGCCCTTGTATGCAATGATTTCCTGAGAGTGCTTAAAATAGCCTATGTTCTGAAATGCCTTGTTTATCCTATTAATTAGCAACCTCCACACCCCACCCTCCTCAGCTTCTTCCTCCTCTCCCTCTCTCTTCCCTCCTCCCCTTTCTTAGTGGGACAAAGGTGGCCTTCAGTGACCAGCAGGTATCAATAGTAATGTCTGGGTCAGTGCCGTCCAAACGATCAAGGAAACAGGAAGGGTCTCCACTCTGCTTCTCTGTAGCTGTGCCATAGCGCAAGCTGCGCAGCCACCCCGAGCAGCGGTGTCAAAGGAGCAAGGAGGAAGCTCACTCAGAAAAAAGGAGCTCAGACGTGTATTCATGCAGTGAAGCCGCCTAGGGCCATCCTTGAGGCAGAGGCCCGCATGCTGCCCCCACTCTGGATGGTCCCCGAGTCAGAGGGGGTTGTTGATGGCCTAGAGTTTCAGGTGATTTGCTTTCTTGTGAAGGCCCTGCTATCCACAGTCACTGGGATGAGTGACTAACCCAGTTGCTTTTACGAGTCTGGTCCCACGTACCATTTGTTGAGCGAATGGCTGCACAAACAAATGGGAAATGTGTTACACCGGTTGTGCGTCTTGATAACGAACTTGGCAGTGCGGGTGATCTCTGCTCCAGCAGGACTGGTTCCAAGTCCAGCCAGGCCCTTGACGTCCCCTGGACCCTCATTCCCAGGCAGCTCGCCCCTGTGTATCACGCTTGGTGCCTCCTCCTAAAGGAGGAGTCGACTGTTATTTACGAGCACGTCTCAGGCCACTCATTTTACTGTAAGCTCCCTGATTAATTGCAGAATGCTCTGTACTCAGTTGTTGCTCAGATGTGTGTTGAATAAATAAACAAGTGTGAGTCCTCATTTATAGCTAAATGCACATGGGTGTGGCTGTGTCTGGTCAGCCAGGAAAATGAGAACCAGATTTAACAGCCCTGTGGAGACCCCCCTGGGGCCCTGGAAGGGTAGGGGTGGGGAATCATTGGGAATGAGCAGAATTCCAGGAACTGGAAAGCACCCCTTCCCCGCTGTGAAATTCCATGCAAACACTCGGGGTTCTCTCCCACTCTCATTCCCTTGTTCCTGCTGCTCCTACGAGCTTGAAGTGGACAGAGTTTGAAATCCTGGAGTGCACCCCTCCCTGCCAAAGGGCCATGGCCCCAGCCGGAAGCCACAGCACCCAGCGTCTGACCTTCATTTGCGTCTTTCTCCTTCCACCCTGGACCTGGGTGCTGCTTACACCGGGGTGTTTATGTTGTGAACATTCATCAGTTTGACCCCTAGGATTTACGTGCTTTTCGGTACGTGTGCCTAACTGCATTTGGAAGTCTACTTTTTTGAGGCCTGAGGAGCGCAGCCTCAGGCAGACGGGCTGAGTTAGGCGCCCATGCGGCAGGTTGCAATGCCGCCTGGTCCCAGGAGGTGGCGGCGCCGCGCCACTTGGGAAACAGGGTTCCTGGGTCTTCGCCCACCCTTCTTGAGGATTAAAGGCTGGGGATTTTGATTCATCTTTAGGATCTAGAGTGTTCCCTCCCTGCTTCCATCCCAAAGACATCTTTTTAAAAATCTCTCAAGAGTGACCAAAGCCGTGGACTCGCAGTGAGAGCTGAGAGGCAGGACCTTCGACGCTGGCGCAGGAGCCCTGGAGCCTCAGGCAGCAGAGGCGTCCTCGCCGCACGGAGCCCAGCAGGGAGAGTTACGGTCTGTTTCTTTCCATCTGTTTCTCTCCTGTTAGGCAGCAGCATGTACACGCGTACACATGCTCATAACGAGAGTTTAAAATAGGAAGGCCAGGAATCCTTTTTTTCTAGCTGACCCTCGTCTCTTTCTGCACAGTCTCTTTGTTCAACTCCCCCGCCTCCCTAAATCCACTAGAAAGTTTCCCTGAAGCCACCTCTGTCCACACAGCCATGGTAACGGGGTGCAGAGTGCACAGTCCGGGCCTGTCCAGGGACCTTAGTCAGCTGCAGAGCTCATCTTAATCAGACAGCCTTGCGGCCAAATGAGAGCCTATGAAATCAACGAAGCCAGCCCCCCGCCTACAGCACTAGAGCTAGTTTTGTGGTCAGTGTGGCGTCTTTGAAGTTATTGGTTTCTGAACCTCTCAATAAAAGCCACCCTGTGTAAGTGAACCTGTGAAAGCGTATATTCATGTATAATTTATACGATTTAAAAATTTCTAAAGAACGTAAGCAGGTTCACTTACACGGGTTTGCATATTCAAAGGGACGGCAGGCTGCCAGTGATATGCGTGGAGATAGGTGTTTAAAAATGAGATAGATCTGTGTGGACTGTTGTGGAAAAAAAAATCCATTCATATCGTTAAATGAAATGCCACAAAGTAATGTACGCTGTGGTCCCATTGATTTAAATGCCGCCCAAAATGTCTACAACCATATGGGTGTATTTACAGGTTTGTATGGGAAAGGTGCTGGAAAAAGTGTCCAGACTTTTCCAGGATATTCATCAAACTATTAAAAATAACTGCCCCCTCAGAGGGGAGTAGGCCTAGGAAGGAGGGCGGGGGTGATGTCTGATGAGCGGAAAGGGTATATTCATGTGTAATTTGTATGATTTAAAAATTTTAAACAGCGTAAGCAGGCACTGTATGTAAGGTTGAGGGGGAAGGAACCTGTGTGAACAGAGCCCCAGCTTGAAGCTCTCTGTGTCCTTTCTTCATACCCGTTCAGCATGTAGCCGGCGTCCGTGTGGGTCTTTAGAGTTTACAAGTATTTTCATGTGATCATTTTATTTCATCTTCCCAACAACCTTCTGAGGCAGATTTTTACTGCCTCCCATTTACAGATAAGCTAACTGATGCTAAAAACAAGTGAATTGCCTTGGCTTCTGGGATTCATTGAGAAACAGAGCTGAGACTCAAATCCAGGCCTTCCAAGCCCAAAGCCAGCCCTTTCCACTTCTCCACAGTGGGAAGAAGTTAGTACCTGCTGGTTTCACTTAGTTTTCTTACCGCTTATTTATTTTTTATTTATATTTTATTGATATATATATTTATTTATTTATTTTTTTAGAGAGAGAGGAAGAGAGGAGAGATAGAGAAACATGGATTTGTTGTTCCACTTATTTATACATTCATTGGTTGCTTCTTGTGTGTGCCCTGTCCGGAGATCGAGCCTGCAACCTTGGCGTATTGGGACGATGCTCTAACCAACTGAGCTACCTGGTCAGGGCTCTTACCGCTTATTTGTAAGGAGCCATTTGTTCAAGCAGATTTACAAGTGGCGTTGCTCAGCCTGCCTGTTTTCAGAGAGGGTGGTTCTCTCCATCCATCAGCTGGTAAAGTTTCTATTGCTGTTCTCTGGATGCTTTGAATTCCTGCCCCACAGTTTTCTTTTCCTGTTATCTTTTCTCAGAGAGCCTTTTCATAAGCTGCTGGCCCAAGGCCTTATCAAGGGGCAGACATTCCGCCTACCATCTGGTCAGTATGTACAGAGAGAGGAAGTAGATCTCACAGGTAAGACTGGCCCATCCATCCCACCCAGGTGCGTGCAAAGAACCGAGGCGAGGCCTGAGGGCCACTGACAGAGGCCTTGGCTGGGTGGGGAAGCCAGGAGAGGGACCTGTTGGCCACCTGGTCTCTAAGTCTCGGCTTGCTCTGGGCTGGCACCCTTGACTGTCTGCTCCTCGGCACCGTCCAATCCAGCCTAAGTGTTAGCTTCTGGCAGGGTGTTTGTTCATATGTAACATAGAGCCAGCTCGGGGATCACCTCCTGTCCTAGTTCCTGTTTGACAGCCCCTTTCAGGGACAGAGCCCCCAGACCCAAGAGATGCTCTTCCAAGACTGGGGTGCCCCAGCATTTCTCCCCATGTGGTCGAGGGTGCATTGGAGAACCTGGGGCGCCATCTCTCTACTTGTTCCCACAGCACCCACAGCCACCGTCCAGCACTCCCTGGTGGAACGCCTCCCCCTGACTCCCTGGACTCCCCTCTCCTCCCTGCTCTCCCAAGCCTCTCCCTCCACCCTGTGTTTTCAGTCTTCCTCAAAGAGGGTTCCTCCCTCCGGCTTGTTAAGTGGCATGATGAGCATTATCCTGTGCACCCAGCGCCCAAAGAAACTGACATGTTGGGAAATGGGGAGGGGACTGTGCATAGAGGCAGCTGGGAGAAACCCCTAGCACTCTGGCCGTAAAAGTTTTTAGAAAACCAGTGCATAATGGGTGAAATTAGGTTAACCTAACACCTCTTAAATGGTCGGCAGCCGCCTACACCAATAAGGTAAGTCGATGAGTCACCTAATTAAAGCAGTGACGTGGCCGGTTAGGAATGGTCACTGTGGAGAAAAAGAAGCGGGAGAAGCAGAAACTAGCAGTGTTTCCCCCACATGGACCAGAGGGGCAGGAGCTGAACCCAGGGGCACATAGATTTCAACTGTGAAGTGGGCGGTCAGTGTGATGGGCGGGGCCCGCACGCTGCACAAAGGCCCTAGCTGGGAGGTGAGCGGGCCTGACAGCCAGCCATGTGCCAGACCAGACACTCAGGGCCACATCTGCCATGAGTGGGCACCTTTATCTAACCTCAGCTGCTCTGCCCAGCAATATACCTTTTTCCTGGTTTGCACAGCAGGGCTGTAAAGTGAGCCGCAGCCCGGAGGGCGTGTGCAGGGCGGGGAGGGGGACAGCGATTCCCCGAACCTCAGCAGAACCAGCACAAAGCCCCTCCCTCTGCTCCACGGCATCAGGCCTCACGGTGTGGGCATCCTCTCCCTTCTCATGGAGACTTGCCCTCTGGGAGGGCGACCTCCATCTACTTGGTGGGTGGGCCTCTCGTGAGTGTGGACTTGGCTTTTAGGTACCCGCATCAGTCCCTTGGGAGTTTGGTGGCTGTTGGAGTCATAGCAGAAATCCACCCGGAGGCGAGTGTAGCACAAGGATGTAAGGGCATCACCCCAAGGCAGCTGAGGAAACACCGCGGGCCCCACCGCGCCAGGGAGATCGCCAGGCCACTCACCTCTCCTCCCTCTTGCTCGAGCCCCCAGTTCTTCCTGCTTCTCTCTGTTCGTCCGCCCTGTTTTCCAGACTTGGATTCTGCTCTCCCATAATTTAAGTTTACAAAGTGACCTTGGGGAGCCACCAGGCCAAGTCTCACCCCGTCCCTCTAGATCTTTATGGTTGCAGTGCCCAACATAAAATGGAGCTTCTGTCTGCTAGTCCCAGTTCCTGAGAAAGAGGCTTAGCCTTGTCAGATGTCTGTCCTGGTCCCAACCACTGGGGCTTGTCAACAAGTCACCTCCTCCAAACACGGCCATTTAGGGCCCCCTCCGTCAGCACCATCTGGACCACCGTGTGGGTGGGAAGGAGACGCTTCCAAGAACAGGGCGTGGGGCTGGCACCGCAGAGGGACCACATTTGGCCATGAGCCCAGCGAGTTAACTCCATGGGCCCTGACAGTGTGAGGTCTTCTCCGTGACTAAGACACGGGCACCGAGACCAGGCCTGGGGTTCAGGTGACCGCTCGGGGCACTTTGCTGCTCCAAGGCCTCACTGGCCAGCTGCCAGCTCTCCTAGGAAACCCCGAACCCACAAAGAAAACAGAGATGTGTAGAGTCATTCTTACTCCTGTTTATTTTATTTTTTGTATATAAGTAAGTTACTTTTATAAAGGGGGAGATTGCTTTGTCTTATTTTGTGGTTGAGAAAAAAATGGTCACAGGCCATTCATTGTAACTACCGTGTACTCATGACAGGAAGGTTGGTGGTGGGAGGTGGGCCTCATTTATTTTAAAACATTTTTAGCCTAGCCGGGCGTGGCTCAGTGGTTGAGCGTCGACCTAGGATCCAGGCAATCGGTGTTCGATTCCCGGTCAGGGCACATGCCCGGGTTGCGGGCTGCAGCTGATCAGTGACTCTCATCATTGATGTTTCTGTCTGTCTCCCTGTCCTTTCCTCTCTCTGAAATCAATAAAGATATATTTAAAAAAAAAAAAAATTTTTTAAAACATGGTGCTGGGGCCGGGAAGGAGGCATGTTAAGTGAAGTGGCGGAGGCCTTCCCGTGGGCACCTGTAGTTGCTCAGCCACTGTTTCCTTACTGGATGTGTTTTTATAGAACAGTCCGGGGTCGCATGCGTCATGCCTGTGTGTGCTTTTGGCATCTAGGCCCTGTTCCTGTCCATGCCAAAACGAAAGAGGAGCTGGCGGTGACCTGGGAGAAGATGAGCAAGTCCAAGCACAATGGCGCCGACCCCGCGGAGGCCGTGGGGCAGTATGGCGCCGACACCCTGCGCCTCTACCTGCTCTTCGCCGCCCCTCCCGAGAAGGACATCCTGTGGGATGTCAAGAGTAAGTGCGCGCCTCTTCCCGACCGGCCCCCTCTGCTGCCTGCCTCGGACGCCGAAGGAACTGGGGGCTCGGGTGTCCTTGCTGAGGGCGGTGGCAGAGGGCTCTCGGGATGGGTCCCGTGCGGCAGGTGGCAGCTGGTCCCGTGCGGCCCAGGATGGCGCCAGGCACAGCCCAGTGTCTCAGGTGATGAGCCTCCGGATCACCCCGGGAGCCTGTTGACATCACAGGTTCCCGGTCTTCACCCCTGACCTGCGACATGGCCCCCGGGGCGGCCCAGGAGCCTGCCTCCCACAAGCCCATGGTGTCCGATGCAGGTTCCACGAGGACCCACCTGGTGACCATGTCCTCGGAGCCAGACTAGCTTCCACGCCGTCCCGGGCCCGGTCCCAGTCCCCTCTTGATCTGCCCTGAAAGGCTTTTTTCTAGAATAGTGTCATCGCCCCTCACCAATCCAGAAACCCCCGCCTGGGGCCTGGTCCTGACCTTACCTGTGACCTCTTCAGCCACCGTAGCAACCTCCAGAGCTCCCCCCCACAGGGGAGATTTCTCTCTCCAGAGTCATTTAGATGTAAAACGGCAAGAAGTAAAATAATCTTGGATTTATTCAATGATTGTATGTACATATTATATACTTATAAATAGTGTAACATATTTAATATACATGTTACACATTTAATATGTGTATTATGTGATGTGCATATTACATACTTATAACTAGTACGTATAATAGAATATGTAAAACAATCTGAATGTCCCGGAACAAACTGTCCAGCGGTCATTCACTTTTCCTCGGTGTGATCTGCCCCACGTGTCACGATGGGAAGATGTGAGCAGAGACCTGGAATCACCATGTAGTTTGCTGTCTCATTTCTAGTGAGAAGAGTGGTCAGAGCAACCGCTGCAGATGCCAGTCCTGGAACTGGCTGTGTTAGGATCCCAGGGATTGTAAAGCACAGACCTGTAGGCGCAGGTTCTGCTCCCACCCCTCTCTGCAGGGTGGCCTCCCGGAAGCTATTTCTAGCAAGCCTTCCAGAAGGTCCCATGTGCATCGGGCTTAGGACAACCTGGTCCAGTGGCCAAAGAGTAAAAGACTGGCCTGGCCTTAATCCGGCTACCCTGTGACCCAGGGCCTCGAGATGAGCTCGTTCAATGTCTCCAGACAATCAGATCAGCAACTAGATTTGATGAGCATGTTTGAAATGGGTAATGAACATGTCTGGCAAGGACAAGGGTTGTGTTAAAACAGCTCATGCTGTACAGCAGCTTCTGCTCCCAGCGGTCTACAGACCACGGCCCCTGCAGGTGTGTGTTACCTGCCCAGGTGAGACGAGGAACTTGCCCAAGTGAGATGAGGAGCTAGCCCAGTGTAAGCCGACTGTGTCCCCAGGCACAGTGGGCATGCTCCGGCCCGAGCCTCTGAGCTTGAGCCGACGACGGGCGTGGACAGTCAGTGGGCAGCACCTGAAGTAGCCCTGCTGTCCAGTGCTCAGAATATCTGGGGCTCTGAGAGCTATGGAATCTGGCCTGGTCTGAGTTCCCAGACACTGGTGGCCAGGACGGGCCCTTCCACCTGCCCTTGGATCCATCCACTGGGGCACAGTGAAGTGTGTCTTCAATTCTCAGGTGCTTTTCTTGGCTCAGATATTGTCCCGTGTCTCTCTTTCTCTCTTGTTTACCAACACCCACCCCAGCCGATGCACTGCCCGGCGTGCTGAGATGGCAGCAGCGACTGTGGTCCCTGGCAACCCGGTTTATCGAGGCCAGGACTGCTGGGGAGGTTCCCCAGCCCCAGCTGCTGAGCAACGAGGAGAAGACTGAGGCCAACAAGCTCTGGAAGTACAAGAACTCGGTCATTTCTCAGGTCAGAAACTTCCCCCGGGATCCTGGTTGACTCTGTACCTGGCACTCGAGGTTTGTGTGCCCGCTTCTCTCGGGGTGGGCCCTCATGGGGCTTCTTCTTCTCCTGGTGGCCCCACTTGCCTTGGATAATCGATCCTACTGCTTTGCTGTTTCACCAAGGCGGAGTGAAAGTACAGCCATTCCCGTGGGAAGACTTGCTCTCAGGAGATGGCTCCTTCTAATGATGGCCTGCGTTTGTCCATCAGGATCTCAGGGAGCTGCCTGCTTTCCATGTGTCCATACCTAACACATGCAGGCAGAGAACCAAGTCCAGGATCACGCTGACACACTGCGTACCTTATATCAGCAGAACAGAATGTGAGAGCTGAAAGGGACACGAAGGCACTTGTGTAGCTTCCTCATTTTGCAGATGGGGATAGAGATGAGGCACAGAGAGGTTAAACATCTTGCGGAAAGTCACACAGCTAGTGAGGAACTGAGAGAGTAGAAAAAAGAAATTTAGGAAATCTGAAGCCATTTTTTAATTTTTTATTTTTTAATCATCGCCCGAGGATATTTTTTCATTGCTTTTCAGAGAGAGTGGAAGGGAGAGAGAGAGAGAGAGGGAGGGAGGGAGGGAGGGAAACATCGATGTGTGAGAGACACATTGAGAGAGACGCATTGATTGGTTGCCTCCCGAACTCGCCCTGACCAGAGCCAGGGGTCAAGCTTACAACTGAGGTATGTGCCCTTGGCCAGAATTGAGCCCAGGACCCTTTAGAGCAGGCCAACGCTCTGACCACTGAGGCAAACCGGCCAGGGTGATCAGAAGCCATTTTTAGTGGGTACCAGAAACCCCAAATGCTTCTTGGGCTGATGTTTTTTTAATGTGCTGATTCAAGTGTATAAAGTCAGCCAAGGTCTCTTCTCCGGACCCTGGTAACTGATGACATTGAAGGAAACGGTTGTCCTCTCTGGATTGTGCAACCTGAGTGGCCCTGGGTCCAGCATGGTCTCGCTCAGGGACACTTCTTCAGCTTTATTCTCACCCTCTGTCCTCCGGCGTGGAGAACAGAGTGCACGTAATTGAGTTCAGCGGTCCGAGTGATCCTGAGCGATTGTTTTCATACCACATACTTTCTCTCGGGATCTGGCACGTCCTTCTGTTCTGTCAGATCGTAGAATTGGGTTATTTTGGCAAGTTGGGAACTCTTGACATCTTAAAGATGTATTATTTTCCTATGTCCTTGCCCGTGGTCAAAACCGAAAAGTGCACAAACAGGAAAAAGCTGACACGCTGTATTAGTGTTCTAATGTCTACTCCGTGTTTAAAAGTGTAAGACTAATCTTGTCCCAAACACTAGGGATCTTTTTTTTTTTTTTAATATATCTTTATTGATTTTAGAGAGAGGAAGGGAGAGGGAGAGAGAAACATCAGTGATGAGAGAGTCACTGATTGGCTGCCTCCTGCACGCCCCCGACTGGGGGTCGAGCCTACCACCCGGGCATGTGCCCTGACCGGGAATCGAACCAGTGACCTCTTGGTTCCTGGGTCAGCACTCAACCACTGAGCCATACCAGCCAGGCTACCCTTGTTGTGAGGTTTGCTCGTCAGTGCGTCCTGCCCCTGTTCCGTGGACCTGTTGTGAGAACCAGCAGCGTCCCAGCTGTGGGGAAAGAGTAGGAACCTTGACATGATGTTAAAAGTTTGGGCTGATGAAACATGGGGATTAGCCAAGCCGGTGAAAACGTTTGTAAATAGCGATGATTGTGTTCATTTAGTTTCACAGTTTGGATTACTCAGTGTTTCTCTGTGGAAAGCTCAGAGGAGTTTTGATGAAGGTAAGTAATTCCACTTTGCCCACAGGTGACCGCCCATTTCACAGAGGACTTCTCCCTGAATTCTGCCATCTCGCACCTGATGGGACTCAGCAATGTCCTCTTGGTAAGCGGCCTGTCTGCCCTCGTTTGCTGGTAGCAGAGGAGAGATGGGGCCTCCTGCCATTCCTGCCACATGGGGAGGTGGCCGGCAAGGGGTCAGGTCGGGGACAGGGAGCGGTACCACTGTCACCTTCTCGGAGTGGCTCTGTTATCTTAAAGCATCGTTTCCATAGTCACAACCTGGTTTTAGAGCCTGAAGGTCCTTGAAGGTTATCTGGTCCTGACCAGGCACGCCCGCGGCCGCGCTTCCCCGTGCCGGTTCTGGTGCCTCGGTGTTCTTACACTGTTGTTTTCTGTTCTGCAGCAAGCCTCGCAGAGAGTTGTGCTCCACAGCCCCGAGTTCGAGGATGCTCTGTGCGCCCTGATAGTGATGACCGCTCCCATGGCCCCCCACATCACCTCCGAGCTCTGGGCAGGTAGGTGGCCGGGCGGGTCTTTGCTTGACCAGTTACTACTCCCCAGACCATGCTCGAGCCTCTTGTGGAGCACGATTCAGGGCTCAGGTGTCCTCAGCCGTGGGGTCCAGTGCTTGGCATCTGTTCTTGTCTTGTACTCTGAATAGTGGTGCTTTTGTGGCCCCCCCACCAAAGGGAGAGACACCTCCCTGCTGTGGAACCAGGTGAATACTGGCGTCACCGCAGAGCATTCTTTCCCATCACCCAGCCTCCCGGTACCCACACATCGTGCCCCACGTCATGTCTTTAGGATGGAAACTCGTGTTTAGTCCCACTTTATAGGTGGAGGAAAGGGCCCCTAGAAATCATTGCAGATCTAGAAGTCACTCACTAAGGCTGTGATTCAGGTCCCTCCACCCAACTGCAATCCCTAAACAGGGCACTGAAGCTGGTCTGACCCCCTGAGGCTCAGGTGGGTTCAGTGTGGACGCTCTGCCCCACCCACCACCTTGAGGCTCTGGATCCTGGAGCTCCGGGATGGTCTGGAGAATCTGGGTTTTAGCCTGCTCTTGGGTGTCTCTGCTGCACAGGCAGGTGGGGGCCGTGTCCTCACCGTAAGACCTGCTCTCAGGTGACAGCTGAAGGCAGGACTTCAGTGTGCTTTTCCACCTTGGGGCAGCCTCTCGAGGACGTTACAGAGCCCGCTGGTAGTTCTAAAAGGCCGTCGCTGCAATATCTGCATCTCCTTCTGAGAAATAACTTGAACAGTCTCCACCTTACGCCACCTTCTTTAACTCTTCATTCTTTTCCTTTTCTCATCTCCGTTTTTCTGATTTTAATGTGGAACTACTTCTTTAGATGGTATGAAGTTACAGTCTCTTTCTCTGTTAGAAGAAAAAGAATAGAACTTATTTGCCTTTAAAGCATTTTGCCCGACGGAGTCGCAGCTGGCTTAGCAAAGCTGGGGCAGGCGGGCGTGTGGGCGAGTCTCTCTGCAGCGCCCCTGAGTCTCCGTTCCTGGCAGGTGTGGGCTGGGGGGGACGGCATGGTAGCCCAGCAGTGGCCCCGGAGGGAAACGGAAGTGAAGCTACAAGGTGCTGTGCAGGTGGCTGTGCTGGGCCCGGGTCCCCAAACCTTGTATTCAGTGGTCTCCTGTGACTTCTGGGGCGTTTTACAGGAACCTGTAGGAGACGGGCCGCCTACAATCTGTGCTGATATCATGCGTTTATCTGGGGGCCTCTGGGGTGTAGCAACCCCCCAGCAGCCCTTCCCGAGCGTGTTGGCCAGAAGCCACGAGATGTCTCCCAGAGAGAGAGCATCGGTTCCTGAAATAAGTACTCTTGGCCACACACTGTGCAGAAGCACGTCACTGAGTCTTTCAAAGACTAAAGTGAGCTGAAAAGACACAGAACCACAAGAAGGAAGTGGTGAGGTTGGTACCGTCCTGAGCGGCTCAAGATGGCGAGACAGTCGCTGTGCGGCGTGCGATTCTTTGATGGATTCTGCGGGCCCTGGACCAGAGGCTCCAATGTTAAGGGGCACTGAGGTAGTGATGAGAAGGAAAGGGAGTTGAGGAGGTAACTGCAGGGACTTCATGAGGCTGAACAGGTCCAAAGAGTGAAGGCAAAGGCGGTAAGGAAAGGCAGGACCAGGCAGCGTTCAAGATACGACCCAGGCAGGCGCCAGACAAGACTCGGTGAGCAGGCGTGAGACGCTAGGAAGCGGTTTCCCCGAAGAACAGTGAGCTCTGGTCAGAAAACCAAACACCCCAAGAGGAACCTGCTCCTGAGGAAACGGAATGCACACAACACTGAGAGTCTTCACCCAGATCCCAGAGCCCAGGTTCACATGCGCGTCGTCCCAGCCAAGGGTGGCAGCACCTCAAGCAGGCAGAGGTGCCAGGGCTCAGGTGTGGCCACTTTTCTGAGCTGAGGGTCTCCGTCCAAGGCATTGAGGGTCCCGGCTGAAACTTGATGGGCCTGCAGTTCTGGTGTCTCCAGCCATAGGCCACTGGAACACACCTGTTTTAACAAGCTGGGTTTATTACCAGGAGAAGGGGGAGGGGGGCTTCTGGGGGCAAAGGCTGAAGTGGCCTCACTTCCTATCCATTTCCTTGGAATTGTGAGGGCTGGATGAGGCACACTGAGGTCAGATGCCAAAACGTCCCCGAGCCCTCCCTTGTGTGTATGAGGACAGGCCTGAAGTTTACCACCGGGGAAGCCTGGCATCCACAGAAGCCTGACCCCTCAGCACTCACTTCTGGGTGACACAGTGACCTCACCAGCTCTCGGGCCGGTGACAACAACTCTCCCATGGGAGGGGATGGGAAAGCCTGGGGCATGGGCTCGGCCGGCTCTTCTGGTGGCCTTGTGTGCGAGGGCCTTGCCACTCCCCAGCCTGTGCTCAGACTTTCTGCACATGCTTCCGGAAGGCTGGCTCGTGACCTGACATGTCACGTAAAAAAAACACAGTATTTGCCATGCAAACATTAGGGATCTACTTCCCTTAAAAGAGCAGGAGGCAGAAACACCATGTAGAACCCTGTGTGAGTTTCTGTTCCTCGCTGGCAGGATGGCCCCCTCCCATCTATATGGAAACTCGGGCAGGGCCCAGGCCGCTCGCTATAAATACGCATCCTGATTGCTCCAGGAAGGTCAGGCTTCCTCGGTTTTTTTTTAAAGTGGAATTTGTAACAGCTTTTGCCCAGAACCTTTGTGTCCAAGGCCCTTCCATCTGCCAGGCATCCTGTGCAAAGCCGCGTGGAGGTTTTGGAGTCCTTCCCGGCACGGCTGGGTCACGGGACCCGCCATCCTGGGCCAGCCGGCTAAAATAAAGACACAATCCTCTCCCTCTGTGACTTCTGCCTTCTACTTAGAAGTGAGTGTCAATAGGATCCCTTCTGAGGAACCCGGGAGCTCCTTCCAGCTTCTGCCTCGAGGCACACCTGGTGAGCTCGGAGCCCCAACGCCCAGGGGCCATTGGGGCCCAGGAACCCGTCCTGTATCCCCCTCGATCCCCAGACCCTTAGGGGCCATCGCTTCCCTTGGATCGACTCAGCGGCATGGGGTTGCAAGAGCGCCAGGCGGGGAAACGACAAAGTGAATCTGCGATACCAATGCGAGAATCAGGACCAGGTCTGCAGGATGACAGCAGGGCCGCTGAGTGGCCGGTGGCTGGGCGTCTGTCAGTCTACAGCAAGATAGGGAGCCTGTGCTCAGAAGGCACGTCGGGGGTCACTAAGCACACAGGGGGACAGGACGGCCGTAGCTTTTGGTAGTGAGACTTTCTCAGCGAAAGGAGCAGTGTGTGTGCTGATTGACACTGGGCCCAAGTTTTCACCTCGCCGCAGACGGGCACGTTGAACAGCTTCGTTGTGAGGACCCCTGAAACCATCTCTAGGGTAATATAATGTCAAAGAAAAGCCACAGACCCATAGGGAGAGAACTTTGTTGAATAAAATTGGGTTTGGAAAATCGACTGTGTATGTTTTTAAATAATGCCCAGGGGTCTGTTTTCCTGCTGCCTGTATGTCTTACACATTGGGGGGCACCTCCTGTGCTCACGGGATCTGTGAGGCTTTAAATCAGAACTTCCTTTGTGGGCACCCCTGGGTGACGTCCCGAGCACTGACAGCTGGCTCCGTGTTGCCTCATGGGTGCTGGGCAGGGAGCGGCCTGAGCACGGCCGCCTCAGCTTTGGGGGTGCAGCGTGAACACTCTGGGAAGCAAGACTCAAGGGGGCTTGTTCCTCTGCTTCTGCGTGTGACCCACCCTGAGCAAGGATGGCTCTTTCCAATTCGATAATTGGCGGGACTGCCTCCCTGGAAGAATTTTAGCAGGAAGGTTGAGAGCTTCCCGAGAAGGTGGAGGGGAGCACCCTGCTCTTCTGGGTGTGCTGGCTCCCCTGAGTGAGTGAAAGGACTGGCAGGGGCCTTCGGACCACAGGTAGTCATGGGCCAGAGAGGAAGTGAACACAGCTCGGGATTTGGGGATCCACTCTCAGAGCACAAAGGTGTCCCTCCCCCAACAGAACCTCAGGGACCAGGTCAGACCAGCAGCCTGGACTCCAGAATAGGGTGTCCATCCATCTTCACAGCTCTGGGACTGTTTGAGAAAAAAGCTCCCTGTAACCTGGGTGATAAGCCAGGCGGAGAAAGTGAGGAGCACCTGGCAGGCTCGGAAAAACCATGGCGCTCAGTGACCCTCTGGCCTTGACCTTGCAGGCCTGGCACTGGTGCCCAGGAAGCTCTGCGACCACTACACGTGGGATGCCGACGTGCTGCTCCAGCCGTGGCCGGCCGTGGACCCCCAGTCCCTGCAGCAGCCTGACGTGGTGCAGATGGCCGTCCTGGTGAGTGACTCCCGCAGCCCCCCGCTCGGGGCGAGCCTACCCAGGCAGGTCCTGTCCTGTCGGTCTAAGAGCTTCTGTCGCCTCCCTGGCCCACCCAGCCCTCAGCCTGTCTCCTTTGCCAGCTGGTGAGCAGAGAACCCTCATGCCCTCGAGGGGTTGGAATGTGGGAAAAATAAAGCTGCCTGAACTATAGGATAATTATCTTTCTTTCCATCCGTGTTCCCACCTCGCTAAGCTTCCTGCAGCTGCTCTGGCTTCTTACGGGGGGAGGTGGTGGTGAGGTCGGCCATGCAGGGCGCCACTCTGGAAACTAGTGCAGGAAAGCTACATAAAATCTCTCTCTTTCTCCCTGTCTCTCTTTTTGGTATATTGGGTCATTTTAAATACATAGAATAGTATATTGTTTAACCCTTTTATAGGGCAAATAGCTCTCTGATGGTTCATTCTTTATGTAATTTTTATATATTTAACTTGCTTACTGTGAGATCCCTTATAAGGAATGTCTCATAGATATGCTGATGTGGCTCAAGAGGCAAGTGGGCAAGGGGTGGACCTCCTAGCCCATCTCTGAACTACTCCTGGGGCCTGGCAGATAATTTACATCCAAATGTAATTTCACTCTCATCACCCTACAAGGCAGCCATTACCCTGCCTTTTTTTTTTCAGTTGAGGAAACAGGCCCAGGAAGTTAGTCACCTTGCTCAGGTTTATTGTTTCTTCATCAGTAATTACCGAGTTACCCTCACTACTGCGGGTACAGGGCTAGGTGCTGAGGATACAAAGTCACACCAGCAGAAGGATCCCTACCCACCGGGAGCCGAAAACCTAGTGGGAGAGACAGGGAGAAAGAAAAAGGAAAGAGAAAAGTAAATAAAATTATTGCAAATTGTGAGCAAAAGTGCCACGAGCAGACCCGCCCCGGGGTGGAGAGCATAGCTCCACGGAGGCTCCACCTGCCAGGCCCCTGTCCAGCATCTGTGCGCACGCTGGGCCCAGCGCAGGTAGAGGTTTGCGAACATTCCCCACAGGCCCTGCCGATTAGTTCCCAGCTGCCCCACCCTGCCTCCCCCACAGAGGGGAAGAGATGGGGCTGCCCTGATCGGCTTCTTCCAAAAATCCTCAAAACCAAAAACAGCCTGAGGCACGGACGGACGGTTTCTTCAACTTCAGTGATGTTTATAAGAAACAGGTACCTTGTCCTCAGCGCATTGAGTAATGCAGACTTGAGAGGCGGAAGTTTTAGTCTGAAAACGTCTCTATTTTAAGTTATCACTACAGAAAAGAAATCTAGTTTTGAGCATTGGTAAAATAATTTTGGATTATCGTTGAAATGAAACCCCCCCAATATGAAGTGTGTGTGGGACTCCCTGCAAGCACAGCAGCTTGAGAAGGTCCGGGTCGGGGCACCGGGCCGTGCGGCAGCCCCTCTGTATAGGTCTGTGTTTGGTGCAGTGTGATTTGGTTCAGCTGTGCCCATGTTCCTTGTGCCGGTGACACAGGCTGTGCCAGATCCGAGGGACACGGAGCCCAGAGGCACTGCCTGGTCTTCACGGAGCTTAGGCCCAGCAGGGACAGGCTGGGGGCACACGAGTTGTCACACACACACGGGGTTATGAAGCCTCGAGGTTAAGATGTAAGGGCTTGGAAGTCTGACCATCCCCGTGTAAGTTTCAGTTTTGTAAAATACTTGGTTTCTCTAGGCCTCAGCTTTCTCAGACAGTGGGGGCGAGCACAGAGCCTGCCTTACCTTGTTGTTGAAACAATGAGATGGGTGGTGCCAGGAGGCGCTGAGACTGCTCTGGGCACACCAGTGACAAGCCCAGTGACAGGTATGAGCACTGGCTAAGGGCCCAGCAGAACTTTCCAGATATGAGCTCCTTTACCCCATACAGCAGCAGACTAGGCAGATGTGGGACTGACCCCGTTTTACAGGTGAGAAGTGGTGGCAGAGTCTGGCCTAGTCACTCACCCGGTGTGTGCTCACTGCCGTGAGAGCCAGCTTGGTGGAAAAGGCATCCTGGGGAAGGGGCCCCAGGACCTTGGCCTTGAAGAAGGAACCACATCTAGGGGGGAGCCCCCGGTGACACTGGGACTGTGAGCCCTGGGGCTGGAGCAGGGCCACAGCAGGGCAGCACTGGAGAGGACTGGGGGCTGGCGGAGGGTCTGAGCTGGGAATGGGGAGGAGCTACTGCAGGGTGGGGCCTTAGGCAGGTGACTTGACCCCATGTGCCTCAGCTTCCCCGTCTGTAAAATGGGGCGGAGTGGTTGCGGTGAGGATGAGCAGGCCACCGAGGGAACGCGAGGCACTGAGGGAGACCTGCGGCCCAGGGGCCTTGTCCTCAGCCGTGCAGGGCTCCCTTCCTCTCTACGAGGTGATGGGGGGCAGGGGAAAGTCCAAGAGAACCAGGGCGAGGCCTTGGACCAAGGCTGAGTAATGACGTGGGGACGGCAGGGTGGAGGGCCTCCAGGTGCAGACTGGGAACTTCTCTGCAGTCTAACAGCCGCTGTGAGGTTTGAAAGTGCTTCTTCCCCTTTGGGCCCCTGAAGGCCAAGCCCCGGCCAGACTTCTGTTGTTTGTTTAATTGGTACCTCGTGCCCAGGAGGGGGCAGCATGATTGAGGCCCACTCACCCCAAAGGGACTGCCCTGGATACACTATTCGGGAGTCCCAGCGTGCCAGAAACCGTGAGCGGTGGCCGGGGCAGCGGCCGGGGCAGCCCCCGGGTACCCACAGCACATCCTGAGGTCCCAGGCCCCAGCTGTGGACAAGAATGACTCCGCTCCATTGGACAGGCCCCCCAGCGAGGGCTCAGGACCTGCCCCAGGCTCCGGGGAAGCACCGCCGCCCACTGGGTCTAGAGTCAAGCAGGGTCGTTGTCCTGGGGCCGCGCATCGGAGTGGACGTCCCAAGGTTCACTCCTTCCATCCTGGCTGGGAATCATTTTTTTTTAATCTTCACACAAGGATATTTTTCCCATTGCTTTTCAGAGACAGTGAGGGGAGAGGGAGAGAGAGACATCGATTGGTTGCCTCCTACTCATGTGCCTACCAGGGCCAGGGATGGAGCCTGCAACCGAGGTGCGAGCCCTTGGCCGGAATCAACACCAGGACCCTTCAGTCCACGGGCCGACGCTCTAACCACTGAGCCAGACTGGCTAGGCTTTGGCTGGGAATCTTGACAAAGGCAGGGGAAGTAAGACAGGGAGCTGGTTGCTTTATGCAGGTGATCTCACTTCCTCCACTCACGCATCCAGAGAATTCACCCTTAAAGAAGAGAAAACCAAGGGCCGAGGTCCCACAGCCTGAGAGTCACCCTGAGCCTGCCCCTCGTAAGAGATGTGCTCTCTCCCCGCCAGGACCCCACATCATGGGGGTTGGACAGAGGAGACCTTACCCTGGGCTTCTCTTTCCTAGAAAAAGTAAGAACAGAGACAGGAAGGCCGGTACGAGGATTCATTATCAAGGGCATGTTCTGCGAATCCCATGTTTGGGGTTCCCGGGACTTCACAGGGGACCTGGCTTCTGTGTGACGGGGGGAAAGGTCTCTTCCGAGGTCTCAGTCAAGCATGTGGCCTTGAAAGATGGCAGCTTCTAATAACTTAGAAGTGGAAGGGGAAGTGACCACAGCCCTTCAAACAGCGAGTCCTGGCCTCACAGCTTCAGAATACAGAGGATATTTATTCGGAACAGAGTATTTCAGGATATTTCAGGACACGTTTGATTGTGTCCCGCCCAGTGATCGAGGCTAACGCAACCAGTACAAATGCCGCTCAGTTCTACGGCGTCTGGAGAAATGAAGAGGTGGTTAAGGCACTTAGTAATGTGCTCTGGTTGAAACTTGAGGAACTATTCCTGCTGACTTCCATAAGGCAGGGACTGGTTTCCAATGAAAATCTCAGGGCTCGCGGGAGCCCTGGGGTCGAGCACGCGGAGGACGCTGCTCAGTGCTGCCTGGCCAGGGGCTCACTTCCTCGGCGGCGATGTCAGTTCATATTTGGGTGAAGTTTGTCCTTACTGAACTGAAAATCAGCAACGTCAGGAACTGTACTCGTCCGTTTTAAGCAAGAGGAGTTGTTCACGTGAGGCCGGTCTGGTTTCCAGTCCTCACCTGAGCTCCCCTTCTGGAGCCAGTCACCAGAAAGGGAGGTTCACTGCGGTCCACATGAGTCCTCGAGACCCAGGCGAAATCCTCGGTGACACCCCCTGTAGCCGACACCCCCTGTAGCCCATCTGAACCTAGACTTGATCCCCAGTGACACGGTTATCCCCTCCCCCTGGACACAGCCTAGGCCGCCCATGATCCCACGCGGAGGATTTGGGGCATAATTTCCACCAAGGCTGTGATGGGGCCGCGCCCAGGGAAACAGGGAGGCGCTCACGCCAGGGGCAGGCGCTCTCAGTGGGGGTCTCTCTCTCTCTCTCTCTCTCTCTCTCTCTCTCTCACATTGCACTTTGCCCTCCTGAGCAGCCAGGTGCTGGCTTCTCCCCCTTTCCCCCCAGCTTTCCTTCCCCAAGCAGACACCAGGGGCCCTTTGCAGGAAGTGGGTTTGGGTACCGGGCTGCCCGCCACTCAGGACTGTTTGTTTCTGGCTTTTCCCCTCCTCAGATCAACAACAAGGCCTGCGGCAAAGTCCCTGTGCCCCAGCAGGTGGCCCAGGACCAGGACAAGGTCCATGAGCTTGTTCTTCAGAGCGAACTGGGTGCCCGACTCCTGCAGGGGCGAAGCATCAAGAAAGCCTTCCTGTCCCCCAGGACGGCCCTCATCAACTTCCTGGTGCAGGAGTGACCGGGCCTCCCAGGGACCTCTCTCCACCCAGGCCCGGGGCAACGGGCGGGGAACAGACTCGCGTTCTGAGCGTTCACCTTCGTGCTCCGACAGATGGGCGTCAGCGTGTGCCTGGTGGTGTGGCCCGGTGCCGGGGTGAAGGCAGACAGAGGAGAAACATGAGCGAGGGGGAGGAGGGCAGCCTGCTTCCCTCGGCCCCCATCACATGGTGGAGGAAGCCGTCCCGTCCCATGTGAAGCCGCCAGAGACACTGCTGGGTGAGCAGGTGCACCCCAGGAACCTGAGGGTAAACTGAGCAACCACAGGAGGCCCAGGAGAGCAGCGAGGACAGTCAGTTTGAACGGGTAACAGAGCTTGGCATCGTGGTGGGTGGGCTCCTCTCCCTCAGGCCAGATGGGAGTCATTTGGGTCATGTCCAAACACCCAGTTTGTGGAGTGGACACTGGGGTCCTCAGACGTTGCTCCGAACCAAAAGGCAGCAGCGCCCTCCCTGTGCCCCTCGGCTGTGCGTGCAGGTGGCATCCTCCCAGCCCCGCCGGATGCGCCTCTGGGCCTGCTCTGGGGCGAAGCGCCACTTCCCACCCGGAGTGAGCGCCGCCCTTGGCAACCGCTCCCTGGGGTAGAGAATCTGCTGTGTAGTGAGGCGGAACCAGCCGCTTCCAGTCCCAGATGGAACCAATCTCCGAGCCCACCGCAGCCCAGCAGGAGTCTGCTCATCTGGGCCCCAGATGGCGATGCGCCACCGAAACTGGCCAGAGCCCGCCACTGGGACAGGGAGCTCGCCGCAGGGGAGGGGGCGGGTGCCACCGGCGCTGCCTCCTGCATTCCAGCCACCGCAGGCTGGCTGCTGGGGAGGTGGCCGGGAATGGACCTGTGTCGTTGACATGCTAGGATAACCCTGGTTTTACGTGAAGTCAGCAGCTCGGTGCTCTCCCCAGAACTGGCCCAAGCCGCTGATGGATTCAGCGGGGAAAGGGAGGGGACTGCAGCCGCTTTGTGATGCCGAAAATCCACGTTGTTCTCTGCTGCCGTTTTTCTGAACAGCCTCAGGTGGGGTCTTCCTGCAGTCCAGCCGTTAACAGATGACTTTCTTAATGCAATAAAATGTTTGTCATGTATGACTTCGGGACATCTGTGTGATCCTGGAGTAGCCGCCATATTCCCGCCCCGGGGGTTAATCCGGAGCAGATTGGGGTATGCCGGCACCATCCGGAGTGTTGGCTGTGCGCCTAACTCCACGGGGGAGCTATAAAGTGAGATGCGCGGGGGACAGGCGGGCCCATTAGCAGCAGCCATTAAGTCCCGCTGCTCAGACTCGGCTCAGACTGAATACCGTGCCTGCTCCCCATGCCCAGAAATCCCAATCGAGTTGAACCAAGGTCTGCAGGGGCGTCAGGGAACCTCACAAGCTCCACAGGAGAACCGCTGGGTTAATTGCTGTGTTTGAACCATAGTGTCTGACTAGTCCTTCCTCATCTTCAGCTTCAGGGGTGAGTTTGGTTCAGAAACGAAACATGAAGTGAGCTGGGAAGGGTGGGGACCAGAGGGAAGGCAGGGCCAGGGCTCTCCAGCAGGCGTTTGAGACGCTCCCAGAGCCGGCCTGAGTGTACACAGCCCCTTCCAATGTGGCAACAAATGCGACTTAAATATAAGCAAACAGATGGGGATACTTGGTGTGAGGAGGGAAGGGTGCTTTGCTTGTCTCGTTCCTAAATAAGCGAGTGCTCTTGAACCCGTCAGCAAGAGGAGGGCAGGGAGCCCTTGGTCCGCACATAATCGGCCAGAGCAACCGGCCAGGGGAGCCTCAAGGCTCCTGGATGGACCAGCGTGGCTACGGAGAACTTTTTCCCTAAGAGGATCAAGCTTTAGAAAACACGAGCCCAGTGGTAGTAAGAGACAGAATAATGGAAAAACTGAACAGAGAACTCTCCCTGGGGGAGGGGCGTGGGGTAGGAAATGACCTCAGTTCTTTATTAAATGCCTTGATTAGGTCAAAAACCCGACTCAACAAGTTCACTTGCATTATGTCATTTAATTCCCACAAAAACCCTAGAGGGAAGGAAGTATTGTCTCATAAATATGAAGAAACGCAGGCTCCGAGGCTCCGTAATTTGCTGTTTGCACAGCTAATGAGAAGAGCCAGGATCCAAACCCATGTCTTCTGGCCTCCAGATCTCTGTCCACCAGTCCCCTCACCGAATCTGGCTTGAAGGATGGCAGCCGGGGAAGTCGAGGTGTTAGCCGAAAGCAGAGTTTCCAGCAGAGTCTGGCTGGGGCTCCCTTCCTGTGAGGTCCTCAGTTCTGGAAAGCTGGGAAATCTCAGCAGTGCCCTCTGGATGGGGACAGGTGGTGGCTGGGAGGCCAGGAGCGTGGCGTGGGTTCCTCAGGGCTGGCGGTGTTGCTCGTGGTCAGTGTCAGCATTATTTCCATCAGAGAATTGAACGGAGAGAGTTGTGCCCCAGAAAGTGGTACCTGGGAGGCCCCACAGCAAATGGCACCAGAGGGGGAGCCAGCTGTCTGCCAAGGAAAATGAAATTATCTCTGAGACCTGAACACAGCATAGGCGTGCTTCGTCCCAGCCTAAATACACGCCTGAGGGGACTGGTTAAGAAAAATAGGGCAGTTTTTAAAAACACATAATATGGAAATTTGCTCATGAATAAAGCAGTAAACGTGTACAATGCAATCCCAACCGTCATTTTTAAATTCTGACCCTTACAAAGAGAGGAAATTTGCCTGCAGGTCGCTGGTTAAGAGCCCTATAACTTATTTTTTCCTTCTGTTTACCTTTTTGCGTTTTCCAATTTTTATTGGCCATGTAGTATTTCAGTCACGGGAAGGAAACATCAAAATGTGAAATTTTGTGAAGCTCCAAATGGGCCAGGGACCTGTCCCCTTGAGGTCTTTTTCCCTCCCAGTCAGGGTATCTGGCTGCCTCTGGATTCAGGCCCCAGTTAGGAAAAGACGCTCCTTCTGTGTGGAAGCTGGAAGCCAGAGCAGCCCTAACCAGCCCCAGGAGGCCCCTGTTGGCAGCCGCTCAGCGTGGGTGGGGGTGGGAAGCGCCCTCTCACCTCTGGGCCTGAGGATCTTGCAGCCCGAGGGCAGAAGAACAGGAGGTAACATTCCCTTCATGGGACTCGCCTGTTCTTGGTGGACAAAGCAGCATGGCAGCAAAGGGGGTGAGCTCTGGAGTCAGCCAGACCGAGGCTCTGTGACTCAGTGGCTAGGTCACTTAACCTGATGGCCTGAGCAAGCCGCAGAACCTCTCCGAACCTGTTTCCTCAACTGTTCATAGGAGTAAAAAACAGTAATGCCCTGGGGGGGTGACGACACAGTCAGATGTGTGTGTAAAGTTCTCGATGAATGGAAATGGCTCGTGAAGGATTGATCTGAGGAAGAACCAGCTGGTGTCTAGAATGGGATTGTCTTTGGTCGAAAAGAAGGGAAAGTTTAGGGGAAGATGCATCCCAGATGCAAACGTCAATCCTGGGACCCCAGGCCTGTGGAGGAAGGAGATTCAACCAGTGAACTTGGAGGATTTGGGGCCCACTGGCAGAACCTGCCTTACGGTGCGGTGCCCGATGGAGTCTGAACAAGGTGCCATGGGCTGTGGCTCGGGGCTGTGCCGCAGGATTCAAGGCGATGGATCCGACCAAACCAGAAGGCGCTCTCCCCTTCCACAAACGACAAAACCGTGGCTCGTGGAGCCTGCGACTTGCGTGAGACTATGACGGTAAGTGATGAAGTTTCCTGACCCCCAATCTGTGCTTGTTTCATGCAGAGTGCCCCTCCCCCTACTTTTAAGGAAAGCCTGGAGCTGCTGCCAGGCAACCTTGAGCTCAGGAGGTGAGTTTTCTTCACTGTGAGCCCCACACAATGAGGAGAGTTTGCTCTCCCTTCCTCCTGTGAGAAGAGCAAGCAGAACGCATCTGTCTCTGGGGCTGGGACCCCATCTGACGCCCAGAGGGAGGGCCGCTGGAGGCTCCCCGGCAAGCTGATGAGTCTGAAGACCGGAATCTGGGGTGACCAACAGTGAGCCAAGGGGAGTCCCCCAGGGTGCTGGCGGGGAGGGGAGAGCCTGGAGCAGCCAGTCCTGTGGGCAGAGGCCTCCGACCCGAGGGCGGGCCAAGGACTGTTCAGAAGGGTGGGCCTCCCTCCAGGCCTCCTGGGAGTCCCTGGTCGGCCCACGTGAGGGAGGGGGCCCAGGGTTAATGAGACCCCAGGGGGAGGCGGGGGCGGCCAGGCCCGCTGGAGTCATGGGCCTGGAAACCAACCCTCATGACTCACTTCCCTGCCCCTGGAGCCCTGAACTTGAACTCCAGCTCTTGTTTGGCCTCTGGGAGAGAAGCCTGCGCCAGACACCCAGCGCGAGCCACGGGTATCGGCTGGAATATTTACCATCTCTGGAGGGCCAGTTGTGTGCCAACCCCTGTTCTAAGTGTTTACCGCCGAAGGGGCCTTGCTCAAGTCCACACTCGAAAAGGTGACCGAGCCAAGATTCTCCACATTGCTTCCCGAAGGCCTTAGGGATGCGAACCAGCCCTGGAACCTCTTGGGTTTTCCCAGATAGTCCCGATTTCTGATGTCGCCTCCACTTGTCCCCAAAGTGCCCTGCGAGGCTCACACTTCCTGACCTGTGGCTTGGAAGATGCTCGCTGTGGGTGCACATGTGGGTGAGCACTGCCCCGGGGTTCCCAGGCACCCCGTTCAGCCCGTGCCCTGCCCAGGGAGAGGCCTGGGCTCTCTGGGAGCCTGGAACTGACCACTCCCCCAAAGCTGTCACCTCTGGCAGACAGACCCAGCCTCCTTTGGGCCCCATCAGTGGGAGCTAGAGGTCAGGGGGTAAACTTGGCTCAACTCCACATACCTCTGGGAACATTACGTTCCGAGGGCGAGTGGGGACACCTGGCCTGGGCCTACAGTCACAGTGAGAGTTGCCCAGCATCACAGCCTGGGCAGTGACCTCCCCAGACCATTCTTTCCACGCACGACAGAAGAACCCCATCTGGACCACTGAGGGGTGGTCCCACCCAAAGAGAAGGCACCGAGCCTGCCTGCTGGAGCTGCAGCCTCGTGGGCTGCCCTCAACCCAGAGGAGAGCCGGGCCTGGGAGGGAGTGAGGTGAGGGGGTGCAGTGGGCATAACGGACGCTGTGGGTCAATGGGGGGGGTGGGGCTGCACCGTGGGTGATGTCCTTCCCTGGGTCTAGCATGTCATCATTAGGGAAAAGGCACCTCCCTTCCACTAGAAACGCCAGGGCGGGCCAGAGAGCTTTGTCGGGAGGTCTTCAGAAGGGGCAGGACACAGCTGAGAGAGGGAACCTCGGCTAGCGTCACCGAATATCTCCATTATCTGTCGAATATTATCTGTTGTCAACCTCGTATTTGTCAACATCTTAGTTTCCAAGAAATAGCTTAGTTTTCTATTCATATTTTAGTTGACTACTATCATGGACCGAATGTGTCTCCCCTAAAACTTCACACGTTGAAACCCTACTCCCTGATGTAATGGTGTTAGGAGGCGGGGCTTTGGGAGGCAATTAGGCTTCGGTGAGCTCATGCGGGTGGAGCCCCCGTGAATGGGATTAGTGCCCCGATGAGCCTCACAGGAGTTTGCTTCCTCTGCTCTCTGCCACGTGAGGACACCGGGAGCCGGCAGGCTGCCCCCCAGAAGGGGGCTCTCACCGGAACCCGGCCACGCTGGCACCCTGATCTCAGACTTCCAGCCTCCAGAACTGTGAGAAAGAAACCTCTGTTGTTTATAAGCCACCCAATCTATGGCACTTTGCCACAGCAGCCTGAACCGAGACAACATTAGCATCCTGGTCGGCAACAAACATCTAGGTGTCAGCTGCCCTCCAAGTGGATGTAGTAGACCCGTTAGTCACCAGTCACTGCATTGTTACCAGCAACAGCCTATTGGGCACCTGTACCTGACGGGCCTGCTAATAGGTTGATTGTCTACCAATCATCTTTAGCAAGAAAACATTTTAAATCATCAGCCAACTGATGATCTAACTATAGCGTAGAAACCCCTAAACCTCAGAGGGCTCACACAGCTGTTTCTCACCCCCACAGTCTACTTCTCTGGAGAAGGGAGCAGGGAGGAAGTTCTGTTCCCG